AATACTCATCACCGATCTTCTTCACCTCAAACAAGCCAGCTCCTGTTCCTACATCTTCCTCACGCAACTCATCTGTCCTACTGGCAATGCGGGCACCACAGGCCCTGAAAAAGTAACGGACATATAAAAGACATATAAGAGGATGATGTCAAGTCTTCAGAGTTAGACAACAGGAAAACAGAAGACAAAATGAGATCCATTTTTCCTTGCCTGAAGTCTTACCTAGCAATGCGGTTGTTGTCGGTCTTTCTGATGCGACGAATTGCAGTGATGTTGGCTTTCATCAGATAGTGCTGAGCAAGATCTGAGGGGCATAATTGTGAGCATACAGTCAATCATCACAGACAATAACTTAGTATACCATATGCTACATATACAGGTGACATGGATTAGGCTGAAAAGATATTAAAGGTAATCCTTTTATTAGGGATTTAGAGGTTTCTATTTGATGCCAGGGCCAGTGTAATAAAGCAGTGTGTATTTTCTATAGGATGCATACATTGAATGGATTTGTTGGTATGTGAGCATGCATGTGTGTACCTGAGATTCCTTTCTCAGTAAAAACCAGGTCGGGTTTGAGACGGATGATGTCTTCACAAATCTGCTGGATGTACTCTTCCTCCATCTGCAGGATTTTTGCAAAGTCTTCCTCACGAGTGATTTCTATATCCGTCTAAGAAGATTAAAAGTTGAAATGAAGAGAAAATCTGGAATCTGAGTTCAGTGGTATAAACAGAACTGCTATTCACATATTTACTATTAGAATGCCTTATAGATCACATACTCAAATTAGAAATCCACAGTGAATAGTGGATGCCACACAGAGCATGTCAAAGAAATCGATGCGGTAAATTTTCTGGTGAGTCTGAACTCGTTTGGGAGCTACAGGTGGGTGATATGGTGAAAATACATTGTAATACATCAAGACCTTTTTCTTAAAACATAACACAATACTCAGCTTTTCTGGGATTTTATAAACTGGGACAGTAAACTGTGTTAGTGCCAAAATATGACCTAAATTTTAAATACAATATATTAAGTTTCATATACTTCACTGCACTAAATCAAATCAAAGAATACTAATTGAGCTCTCTTTATAACAGAACATACAGTTCTTTAGTGTTTAAGCACTGACAATTTCCACATTATGCTCAGAAAAGCATGTTGTGTCAATGTGAATAATTTAGTACGATAATGATGAATATCAACTGGGAGCTATGTGTGTCACAAAATTCATGCAAGTGGGTCTCTGTTAGTCCATCTGTCTTACCTGGCTCTCACCCTTCTTGTACTCTAAGGAGCAGTCAAGGAGCACGATTCTAGGGTTTTTGATGAGGCGACGCATGCGAGGGTGGGTTACATCCTTATTTACCATCACTCCCTTCAGCACACATGAGTCTTCAATGATCCCACCAGGGACCTACACACACAGGCAACAATTTGATTAATCCTTTTACTAATTTCAGTTAGTACTGGGTCACTGAACTGAATCCCTCCTGTTTAGGAGCAGGTGCACTGTTTCAAACTTCTAAAATCTTCTGAACTTCTATGAAGTACCACCGAATCAACAGAACATCATCTGCAACATCTACTTAGACTATGTTCACATTACCAGGCTAAAATGGCCAAAATCATACTTTTTTACCTTTATGTGACAGAGATATAATTTTGTCCGGAGCTGTGTGGACACAAATCTGATCTTTTCGAATAGGATCTAAGACTAAGTCACTTTCATATATGGTCCTAGATTGGTTAAATATCTGATTTGTGGCCATGCAACTTTAATAAGAACGGCCATATTAAATGTGCCATATCATGACATAAATAAGTCCACAATAATGACACATAAGTCAGTTACACAAACGTAAGCCATCAAGTCAGAAAGATCAAAGCAAAAAAAACTCAGAATTGGGTAATGGAGCTTGTGATGTGAACACAGCCGTAGTCAATGTTCCTCACTCCGTTCAACATTTTCAGTAACTTAGAGAGTTTTTGTGGCATGCTAAATTTTTCAGTCACCACTGAAGCATTTTTGTCTTCTAGCACAAAGATAAGATCTGGATCACTGATTCCACTTCGTTCAGTTACACAGAAAAATAAGACTGTATTCAATTATTTTTTAAGACTGCTGAAAACAAGAACAACTTTGATGATATCATAAATTCATGTTAATTACAAAATAATGAAAATGCTGTTTGAAACCATGTTAACTTGTTCCAGAATCACCAATCAGATCTCACATGTTTATATGGCAGGAAATGACTGTCCAAATTCTTTTTCCCCAGTCAGTAACAAAAAGACAGCAAGAGCCACGCACATAATACCTTTTAAAGGAATTCAACCTATAGAAAGTAAAACATTTTCTTTTCCAATCAGTGTTTTATTGTGAACATACTCCAGAAAGAAACCAAAAGGAATCCCTAGGTGATTCTACCACATACAAATGTGTGAGGTTTAAACACTTATGCATATTTCACCTTTTTATTCTTTTTAGTCAATAAAATTTTGTACTAGAGCCTTAGAACACTAAATACACACACAGGCAGCATACCACTTAAGCTTTCAAATAACAATAACGGTAATTCTACTTGACGTTCTCAGAAATGCTTGATGAGCTGTGCTTCACTACATGAAATAAAACTCTGGAGATGAGTCCTACCTTTTCCACCTTGGCATATTTCTTAATATCGATCTCCTTACGGCCGTTGTCCTCAAGCTCTACAGTGCGCACTGCATCCAGAGCAATGTTACATGCCAGGCTTGACCAGCGGCTCAGTGCCTTGGTGTTGATGGCCGAGTTAATGATCTTCAGCATCATGTCCCGATCATTCGGGTCAACTGGAGTGCTGAGGGACAGAAGCATGTTTAAGCTAACATGTCATTCAGAGCCTATATACACGTGTTAGTTGTACAACCAGACACACTCCAGACAATTCATAATCACACTGACTCACAGACCTAGCATGCATGGAAAGAGATTCTACCTGATCTCTTTAAGCATGTTGAGCATGTCGTCCAGAGCCTGCCTGTAAGCACTAATCACCACTGTGGGATGCATCTGCTGCTCTAGGAACTGCTCCGCCACTGACAGCATCTCTCCAGCTACACACAAAACATCACATTTTGTTGTACTGTGATACCACTGATGCTTTCAAACAGCCCTTAAATGCTTTTACACTGGAAAACTGCAAACATCCTCTACTTCCAAGAACCTGGCACCATATTTAAACAATACAAGGAGGTGACAACAAAATGATGGCAACAAATGCACACTCACCCAGGATAATAACAGAGGTAGTGCCATCTCCCACCTCCTCGTCTTGAGTGCGGCTGATCTCAATCATGGACTTGGCTGCAGGATGCTGCACTTGGATCTACAGGCAAAGACAATGGGAGTCAGTGACATATTACCCTGAATTTAAATCGCAACAGTAAAACCCAAGATCCTTCAGAGCTCTTACCTCTCTCAGAATGGCATTGCCATCATTGGTCATGACAATACCTCCCATAGGGTCAAGCAACATCTGCACAGAAGAGGCACATTTACATCATCTGGTTCATCAAGTGCATCATTTAAAACACAAACTGTTAAATTTAAAGAGAATTAACATTTGCCTGAACATTAAACCTGATCTATTAGAGTAAAATGTGAGATAATGGTAGAATGGGAAAGGGTGCGGCTTTCGGGTATAACAAACGCGACCACTTAGAACTGATGCTAAGGCCTTACGGGTACACACCTTCATCATAGCTCTTGGTCCCAGACATGTCCTGATGACATCTGCTATGGTCTGAAAACCAAAACCAAATAGCAGATTGTAAGATCACACATTAACTGCAACCACAGACATGTGAAGTGTCTATGAGTGAGTGAGAAATGAATGACTTACCTTAGCTGCGCTAATATTTCCAGTCTGGACCTTCCTTCCAGACTCTCTCTTCATATTCTGGCCTAAAACAAAGACAAGAGATTTAAACCAGAGCACTGAAAGGGTGGTGGACCCTTTGAGTCTGGAGTTAGCTAGTGAGAAATACAGTTTGCACATCATACTAACCAGTGAACTAAGACATTACTCATATTCAACTTTTGTCCACAGTTTTCTTTTTCTTGAGTAACATAAAACTATAATGCCATGTCTGGCCAGCAATTCTAGACAGGCGAGATTTCCCAAGAACAATATCACATTTAGAAAGGCAGCGTTACGTTTGGCTCCAAGAAACTAACGTACATATTCATTATCCAGCAGACAATAAGCACATCAAGTCCACCGAGATAACAGTGAACTATCTACTATTTCCAGAGAATATGCAGCTAGACAGACACAGACTGACAAGTGAGCTTAACTAAGGTAGGCTAAAGCTAGGCTAGGCTAAGCTAAGCTAAGCTAAGCTAAGCTAAGCTGAGTTAGCCGGTGACCATGCCATGCCCATGTTAGCCTGTTAGCCTCGCTGACAATTACAAACTGAAAGGTCTATCACAAGGTAAAGTTCAGTTGACTGACGTTTCCTTAATATTACGCCTAACACGGCACACATTTTAGAAGGCAAAAACAAGGATTCTCACTAAGTACGAGAACCGGTCGGCCCATCATGTTTGCAGCGTGGTTTTGTTAGCCGGCACCCAAATCCGCTCCGCACGGGGAAGAAGAAAGGACAGCGAGGCGGGGCCGGAGACTCGGCAACGGGCTGCACCAATCCGCGACGGAGAAGTTCTGACGTACAACCCTCTCCACCAATCACAGCATCCATTTTTGGCGTTTTGGGTGGGACATAGTAAATACAGCGTGGGGAAGTAAGTATCGTGGGTGGGGTTAAGATGAACGTACCAGAATTTTCCCTCTGATGCGCTAACGGTACATATAAAGTAATGATACGCTTTTCAGGTCATTTTTCAAATTATTATCAAGAGAAATAGCAACCCAATAAAGTAGTTAAAATATCAGACTATATAACTCTTAAATACGGACTTTAAAAAAAAACCCACTACATCAATTAGGGTTTATTTTTTATTTTGTTTGAAGACATGAGAAACCTGCAAAGTACAACATAGTATTCAGGCCTGAAGAGGTAGAACAGAAATCCCATCAGTTTCACTGCAGCTGCTGAATAATTCACCACCACCACACATTCCAACGTCGAAACTCGTCTTCCTGTTATTTTAGGACAGGTTTAATTACCAATTCTAATTTTAATCGCCAATTCAAGAAAAATAACCTTTCTGATCTAAAGATTACACACTATTCAAATACCTATTTATTGAACATACTAGTATATCATGTAGCTCAAAGGAACTGCATTAATTCTGTTGCTCAATCACAACTAACCTATGTATATTACACTTCTTACACTTTGTCTCTAAACACATATTACACACTGTGAAACAGTAAACAGAGCACTAAGAAAGGCTAAAATGTCCCATGTTCAATGTCAGCCTTACAATTATCTAAAATGACTTGCAGTGTGTGAACTACTGAACAAATTACTGACAAGCATTGTCCAAGTGAACAGTATAAACAAGGATTTTTTTTAACAGGAAATGGCACAATCTTTCAGAGGATGAAAAAATATTTAGACACAGTAGATGTTGCTAGGAAATCTGAAATAATGCTTTCAGAAATTCTGATTACCAAATTACCATGATAACCTACAATCTAGTTGCCTGACACTGTAAAGACTAGGGCACCAATAAATCTTGTACCAACTGAATACACATACCCTTTTGAAAGGGGCACTATGATCACTGGGTTTAGCTTCCTTAGTAACCTAAAGTAGAACCTCTTTAGTATCTTATAGGGGAATTTCTGCATAATTAAATGGTTTAGATGTAAATATAAGTCATTTAGAGTGTTTTGATGTGAAACACGGCACCCTAGAAAAACTTGCAGAGTCAGAATTCTTCACAGCAGTGGAAAAAAGCACCAGACATCCAAGACATTTAATGTCTCTATAAAAGCTACTTCACAAAGTTATTCATGCAAAGTAGTTTAAAAAAAAAAAAAACCTTCCCTTGATGCCTGAGACGTTGTTTTACAATGGTTTTGTGATAAAGTTTTGGCCTAAAATACAATGTCTATATTTGCCTTTTACACACTGGACCTATCACTAGCACTGTAAAGAAAATCTGAGTCAGTGTGTTCCTCTGCAATACACCATTTCACAGCAAACCACTATGAGAGAACTTGTTTACATTTCAGAGATTAAACTGAGCAGAATTTTTGAAAAATCAGTGCAATTCTGCTTTAAATTATGAGGAAAACTGTCCCAGTATTGTGACAGATATACAATCTACTGTTAGGAATAATCAGGTCAGAGGAACGCATATTATGTACTGTCAGGGCATCTGCTTACAGGATATAATTTGAGATAATTTACTCTTATTTACTAATATGAAACTATTCTTGCATATTCTATGAACAGTCTCAGTGGAAAGAGAACTGTACTCAGTAAAGAAAACAGAATGCAAAAAAAACCAAAAATTTAAAGACCGCTGGTTCAGAAACAGGTCTATCTTCAGTTTGAGTTCTTAACCCCTAAAATTATACTTTAACAACAAACATCTGATATGAGGATCTGCTGCTGGATGAGCCCACATCAATCACTTTGACATATAATTCTTATTCTTAGAAACTAGGATATTCTGTGTTGGTTTCAGGACAAAATAACACCCTTGGCCTGTGCTCTGTCCACAGAGTCAAAAAAATTGCAGACTATCTGTTCATATCTCCATTTTCTGGACTCTCATTTTCATGGTTATTTGAATGAAATTCACAGGTCATCTCTTGATGTGTGTAGGACCAGAGGATTTGTAGCCTCTTTCTTCAGGTAGCTGATGAAGTCAATAACCTCTCGTCCACCCTTAGGTAAGAAATAAATCAACAAAAGCAATAAATCAACTGCATTAGCGAAAAATAATTTCACAGCCATGTGTGTGCACATTAATCATGCTTATTTACACACATTCATTGTCACTCATTTCCAACTAAGTATGCTTACTAGTGAAATGAACCAGGTGGCCTTCAAACTTAACCAATGATAAATACTCTTAAATGATCTCTGTTTAACATCACGAAGGTTTTAACATCCCTACAGTTTACGTACCTCATATCGCCTTGGCTGGTCTTTTTGTCCAGCAGGTGCAAAGTAAATAGTTGGAAAGCTAAAGTACAAAGATATTTATAGCACAATCAATGTGTGGTAAGAACATGAACGAAGAAATAAGTGTGAACATGTAAAAAGAATACAGCTTTACCCTTGTACATCATAGTTTGGAGGAACATCATTGGCAGTGGCGTCCATCTTAGCAATGACCATGTTGGGATCGCTGGACAGCTGAGACACATTACAAGAGTATTACACAATCACTAAGCATATAAAATAAGCCAATGAAAGTACTGAAATCCCCCCATACCTTCTCTCCAAGCTCAGTATATTTGGGCTCCAAATTTTTACAATGACCGCACCAAGGAGCATAGAACTCCACCAGTACGTCTTTCTCTGGGTTGTTCACAATCTCCTCAAATGTGTCTGCAACCACAACCTGCATAATCCAGTCATTTAACATAGACCAATTTACTGTGCTTATCGTCAATTATATGTACATCAATACAGCAGCGGTGGTCAGATGGTGTTTCTAGGTGTGTACATACTTTGACAGGGCCATCATTTGACTCTGGGACAGGCTCCGATTTGATGTATTTCTTTAACCGGCCAGCAAAATAGTCCTCCAGGAAATTTTCCAGAGATTTCCCATCTCTCCTGCAAAAACCACAAAAGATGTTACCAACAGCATATTTTTAAAACGGACATCGCTAATTAGCTGACTGTTGAACCATTACCTTAAAACTTCACTGGCTGAACTATGCTTCCAGATTGCTGAGAAGTGCAAAACAGGCAGTAGCTAGGTTTCCATCCACATATTTTTATGCATGTTTTGACAAACTGAATGAAATGGCTTTATGTAAACAGCTAATATGTAATACAAATCACAAAAACTGCTTTAGATGGATGTAATTTAAATAGAAAAAAAATGCGATATACTACAACTGAAACAAATTCACTGAATACATAATGTGAATGCTAACAGAATATGGTTGTATGACTGCTCATGTTTCTAGGATGACATAAGGCAACAGTGGCCACTGGAGTAATGAAGAAATGACAACATCCCCTATCAAAGGGGAAAAAAAACCCAACTAAATCATTATGTTTGCCAGTGTGCTCAATCTGCATGCTCATATGATTTAAAATATAGCCGTAAAATAAAACAAAACAACAGAACAAGAAGCTGCTCGTTGTTTAACGATTTGTCTGTAAACTCGCCTTTTACTTCAAATGAATACACTGGCACCTTAACATGCTACAGACAAAACAATCCTATCTACTGGACATTGTCTCACAACTGCATGACATTTTTCTCCATTTGCAGTCAGGGAGGTATTTTAAGGGTACGTACGTGAACTCCTCCTGCATGATGTACTTGTGTCCTGCTCTGGTCCTGATAGTGATGATTGGCAGTTCTCCTCCATCAGAAAGCCCCAGACCAAACTCCTCCTCCAGCTCCTCCTGGAACTCCTCCCAGTCCGCCACAGCAAAACTCAGTCCACGCAACTGGAACTGAGTTGCCACCTTCATCACCCTGAGAGGAAGGGGGTTAAAACAAATAAGTGCATGAATATAAGCATGTAAAACCAAGCACTTCCCAATCATAACAGGTTTGTTACAATTGGCTGTCCAAAACAACTCACAAAAATGAGGGAAAAAATTTAGCAAATTCATAAAAGGCTGTTTTCTTGAGTTCTGGGTAATAGAAAAAAATCTTAGAGCAGCTTTGACACCACACTATGAAAGATCTCACCTGTTCCTCCAGTAATTTGTACCTTTTGGATTCCGCACATAATCAACACCATAATAAGCCGTAAGCAGATCGCTCGTCCTCAAAATGTCTCTGTTCCCGGAGTTCAGATGAGGGCACAGGCCAAAGCTGAATACAAAGAACAAAAATCACAATTAACAACACTGAATGCATAGTGTCGGCTTAGGCAACTAAAGCAAATAAATTAGCCTTTTCAATACACCATGGCCGTGAAACTGGTGTTTGAATAAAGGACCACATTCTGGTGTTTCAATAAAGTAAATTACAGCGTTCTCTGGTCAAGTAAACTTGGCCAAATTACTTTGTCACTATGAGGGAGGTCACCTGAATCGGACCAAAAACAGAATGTAATAAACGGAGGCTGGAACAAATCAGAAACACACATGTTGTCCCTGATGAATGTACGGAGCAAAGAGGTTGAAATAGGTTCTGTAAACTTCATCACACTCTCCTCAAACTTGCTGTTCAGGTGTGGCGGTCGAAACAGTAGGACGCACCTGGAGGAATTTAGGAAAGTGAAGTATGTGTTAAATAAAAACGTCAGCAAAATCCATTAACGACAATATTTTAATATTTAAAACGAACATCAGTCCTTCTATCAAAACGCTGTACAGCCTCCTTCTACATACTCTGTGTCAACATTGTGTTTCAGCCCAATTCTCAGATCTGTGGAATGAGCGAATCGGTAGCTGTCCCTCAAAGCACTGGAGGCCTTTAGAAACTCAGCAAGCTGCAGACTGTCTGTTCCTGAGAAGAAGCCTGGCACACAGGGACAAGACACAAAAGTAGGAGCAATTTGTTATTTAAGACGGACCCAAAGCAGTAAATCACATTCCAAATTCTGCTGCTACGACACTTAAATGACTAATATGACTGACAGCAGAAGCTGCTACTGGGTTAAATGGTGAAATGGGCTAGGAGTAGAACAATGGTGCAGAGATGCAGGTTTTGTCTCTGAAATCTCTTTAGAAGTAGGAATGGAAGGAATACATAATCCTTTGGTCAAGGCATTATGGTAATATTGCGCAAGTGCCTCTATGTCACATCATAGCAAAATCTTGTCTGTTAGATTATATCAAAATGTTTGATTACTGGTATTTTTAGCTTTTGAGACAATGACACAAATGCGACGTAAGATAAAGATTGTGAAATACTGGCACTTAGAAGTAGACGTAGAATGCCTCTCAGCCAATCACACTGCAAGATCAGAGCTAACTGTGGAATAATTAGACTTATATACACAGAAATAAGCATTTTCAGACTAGAGATTTGCACATCACAGTAAAAAACACCATAGGAGTGGTCATTCTCATGCCACGCTTCACTCAAGGAGCTCAGATTATCAAAAACATTACTACCATCCAGGTTTAGTACAAAGATATTAGCAACCAGGAATATGCAGGCTAATCTGTCACTGTCTCCAAATCATGGTAGTTTTCTTTGAATCCTTTTTTTTTTTTAACAGGATTACAGCTCACCCACTATGCTGGCATCGAAAGTGTTTATGAAAGAATTCAAGTCAGCCTCGCTGTGCAGAGGTACAGAGCTTGGTCCAACCTGCTTCTTCATATAGCTCACAATTCCATCTAGGAAGTCAAAAGCACACCAAAAATAAATCACACACAATGACACATGGTTACCAAAGATCTAGGTACAGACGAAATTCACGCACCTGCTGTTCGGGGGCCATCGTATGAAGAAGCCTCCTCCCCATTACGGAAGATCTTCAGTGTCGGATATCCATTCACCCCAAACCTCCCACATGTCTCGGAGTTCACAGTGCAGTCAACCTGATTGTAAGAAACAGTAGTTAACACATCTGCATTTTAATGTATGTTTTACAAAAAACAACCGTTTAGTTCTGCACGAACAAAAGTCTTATCAAATCAAGGGTTTTAATATGGAGTTTGTCAATTGCTGTAACAGCCTTTACTCTTCTAGCAAGCCTTTACACTAGCTGTTGGAACATTGCTGTAAGGATTTGACTGCTTTCAGCCACAAGAGCATTAGTGAGGTACTGATGTTGGATGATTAGTTATGGATCACAAAAGCACTCCAACAAATATTGCTCTATCAACGCAATTCCACTGCTCCGCAGCCCAATGCTGGTGGGCTTTCTACCCCTCTAGTTGATTCTTGGCATTGGGCATGGTGACCTTAGGCTTATGTGCAGCTGCTCCTTCCAGAGCATCGTATTCTACTAACAATGCTTTTCTATGGAGATTTTACAAGCTTTTTGTGTGCAATTAAACACCTGTGCTAGCAATGCATCCACTTTAAAGTCACTGAATTGACTAATTAGCAGGTGTGTCTGGACACTTTTGGATATATACTGTATGCTCCCATTCAAATGCACAATAAGACTGTCATCTTTTGGCAGTAGTTCCCAAACCTGGACCTGGAGTACCCCCCTCCCCCAGCCCTGCACATATTAGTGTTTCCTGTGCTCCAACTAATCACTTCATCAACACATCCTTCATGACTTGAAGTGGGTGTGTTGGGAGCAGGGGAAAAGGATGGAGAGTCTTCCAGGACCAGGGTTGGGAACCTGTTCTCTAGTGAACTGTGAGATAATTCCTGGCCTGAAATATGATGTGGCTTTCTGCTTACCTTTGCTAGGGATACTGCTCCCTTCAGCCTGGTGGCAGCAGCTTCATATTCAGGTGCTAACCTCTGACAGTGACCACACCTGTGGGTGCAGAAAGAAGGGAGCCTTAAAGCTATATTTCTTAAATGTGATTATCTGGAGCAGTGTCCTCGCCATTAATCTTATTTCACGAACCTACAAGGCAGAAAACAACACGGGGGGAGAAGAAAGCGGATTTTAGGCAAAATAAGCTGCCTGCTTACAACGAACACACTATTACTACTGACACGTATCCTAGCAAGGTTTACTACACACTTTAAAAAAGATGGTTCGTCAAAGGTTCTTTAATAAATGCAATGGTTCTATTTAGAACCATGAGTTCTATATAGAACCATTTCTGGATCACAAAAGCACTCCAGCTTAATGGTTCTTTGCATAAATGGTGCTTCAGACAGATGAAGAATGTGTTGTATACGGTTCTATATAGAACCTTTTAAAAATGGTTCTTTATAGCACCAAAAAAGGGTTCTGCTACTGTTACGATGTCAAGCTTGTAACAATAGCAGAACTCTTTTTGGTGCTATATAGAACCATTTGATCAAAAATATTTCACAATGTAAAGAACCATTTAAGCATGAAATCGTTTCACACAGAACTCAGGGTTCTAAATAGAACCATACCCTTTACTAAAGAACCCTCTTCTCACGTGTTTAGTTCTCCTGCGAGCATGTTTTCAGTAGTGGTGAATGTGCTGAGCTACAACGTTACACTACTATGGCTAATTAGCAGTACAGCTACCGGCACATTCACACTATGACACTATTATAATGTCGCACTCTTAACGCTACAAGACGCTATTTGTAACCGACGCAGCCGACCGGCTCCCTGTATAGTGAAGGGTTTCGTACCACGGAGCGAAAAACTCCACCAGCAGGGTGTCGTGTGCGGCCACACGGACCTCAAAATCAGCGTCCCCCAACTCCAGCACATCGCTGCCCTCCACACACAGCGAGTTTTCCAGCAAGACGCCGAGACAAAGAAAAGAAAAAGGCAGCAAAAACATGTCAACAGTACAGCAAAACCGACACGACAGCCTGTATGTTACTGAATGCGGTTCGCTAAGCTAGCGCCGAAGTCTTTTCACTAACTAGGTAACTCAAGTTACTCGAGTTAAAGTTGAGCTCGGCGTTGTTGAGAGCCCAGCAGCGAAGACGCTCGCTGATTGGCTGACGCGTCTGACTTAAAATACCCATCTTCGGTAAACCACGCCCACACATGCAAATTTAGTACAAACCCATCAACAGGCAGAGCAGCGTGCCAGTATTAAAATTTAGAACACATAAATCTACCAGATCAAGATTTCTTAGGAAGCTGGCCAGCTTAAGGCAAAAGTAGAGTGTCCAACGGCAACGTCCTTACTCTCTCTCTGAGGACTTGAATTTGGGCTTGTTATCTGGCTAACTTTGCAATCCTACATAGGGAAATACTCCCTAGTATGAGCAGCCTAGCAGAATAAATTGACAGTGTTTATCCTTATTTAGCTGATCTGCACAGTATGGCCTGAAAGTAAGCATCTCGTATACAATTCTCATCTCCTCTTGTTGAATTCCCTAATACAACACAAGGAGACAATGGTTCTAAAACCTGAAACATTAATAAAGTGGCATTAATGTAGAATTCAGAACAGTGATCTTCCTTTACATTGAAGTTGAAGCAGTAACATAAGCTATGACAGCTTACGATGTTTAAAATGACAATACAGTACAACATAAGCTAAATATATAAATACAAAGGAGACTTTTATTCAGTGCTTGCCATCCAGATCATTTTTCTTAAGCAAGTTTTTCTCTCACCAAAATGTACAGGAAACATACAGTAAACCATACAAGAAAAAGTGAAAACAAATCTAGATATAAAAATACTGTACATATCAGGGACTTGCCCCCTTTTTAAGTCAAATATATACAATTCACCTGTCCACAATTACACAAGTACCGCAAGAGTCCAAGCTGGCCTTGTGCAGTAGCACATTCAAAAAGTACCCTTGCAAGACCATACAGTTATTTTGTCCTTTGCAAAGTCTCTCCAATCTCTTGGAGCAAGCAGCTGCCAATCTTGTTTAGTTTGCTGGTGATGAACTTGTTCTATTTTTGTAGCTCTGCATGTCCAGGCTTCCCATAAAACCTGTTTTCATGTCACAGAGGGATATCCTGAAAGCAGGTTATGTTCGACGAATTCATATTATACATCAGCAAGACATGGACCCATGGTCCTTGTCATGTTTCCATGGTTAATCTGTAAAGATGAAGGTGTATCTCAGCCTGTGATCATGTCAGTCCTGCTCCTCATCAGTGGCTGATTGCTGTTCAGTGCCCTCATCCTCCGAACTGGCCTGACGAGCTGAGGTGTGGAACAGACGCATCAGGTCCCGAAACCTCTTGGAAACCTACAGAACACAGTACATAGAGAGAAGTGTTTCAGAACTCAAAGAATGAAAATTTATTTAACGCCTTTATTTATGAAGTAATGTTCCGAAAAGTGTTTAGTACCTCAGTGGCAGTTTTGTTGCCAAGCTGTGCTGACACAGCTTGAAAGGTGCTCTGATTGGCCCCTTGCTGTTGACAGGCAGTTAGAATGACTCTATCAGCCTCTCTGGAAACAAAAAAGTTTAATTAAAAGATGTGAACTAGTATCAACAAATGACTAGAATGGTTATAGCTTTTATTTAAAAAGATAATAATTTTACACCTAATAACAAAATTTAAAAGCATAAACATTTGGCAATGTATACAGACATTGATTTCTAGTACGTAACTGCTAAACCTCAACAATTCTGGAGCTGTAGCTCAGCTGGCTGTAGGCTAATTAAAGGCAAATTCCACCAATTTATCAACATGGACGTATAATCAAATTGTTCATATGTAAACAAAGTTGTTCAGAGTGGTTTAATGTGAAATACGCACTCTGGAGAAATCTGCAACCAGTTACAACCCCTGGTGGTAATGGGAACCAGGGGTTGCAATGTCGTCAACACAAACATAGCCATTTGAAACCATGCATGCTGGGTTTTAAATTTAATACTGATATTGGTAAAATAGCAGTAGATTAAAAAGAACGTTTTGGGATGTCATTTTACATTTCAATTTCAATGTATTTAAAAATATGTTTAGGCAAAAATCCTCTCATAAATATTGTAAATCAATGTGTCAGGTAACAAAGGTAACAAAGGCATCAGGCAATGTATTTGTAACTGTTTTAAGTAATAGCTTTTATGTGAGGTAGCTTTTAGAGACAATAAATGCTTTGGACATCAGGTTCCCATCACCAACACTGTGAACAATTCTGACACTAAGTTTATCTAGAAAGGGACATTTCACACCAACCTACTCTGAATGACCATTTACATCTTTATGATCAACTCCTGTAGAATAAAAAAAAATTGCCACTGAGTCTAGTGAATTGCAAGCTGTTGCTGACCTGGTCCAAAGGACAACCTTCTCTCCACTGGGTGTGAGGGAGATGTTCTTAGCACAGACAGGCATGTCAGAGGACGGGCTCTGTCGACTCTGTTGCATCATCTCTCTCTCTCCTGACTGAGGAAGAGGAGAAGGATCAGGGTGTTCAGCTGCTGTCCCTTCATCCCTGCTGAGCTTAGAGGAAGAAGAACAGTGCTCCCTGTCTCCCTCCTTCCACTCCTCCTCCTCATCCTCCTCTTCATCATCTCTCTCATCAGGGTTGGGAGGAGGGTCTCCTTCACTGCCCTCCCATGCTTGTCCCTCTGGCTCTGATAAACAAAGAGACCGGGAATCTGTCAAGACTGATTAAAACGCGCCGTTCTGCAAATGCTCTGTGTTAACTATTTTGTAATTGTAAACAAGTGTATATTGATACAAACAATAAGAACAACATAACAAAATGAAAAGGGCGCTGTTGGTAACTGCATTATAACCGAATATATACCATGATGTGGACTGTTTGCCCCACTGCCAGACTCATCTTTAACCCCTGTTTCTGTTTCTGTCTCTTTCTCTTCCTCTCTCTCTTCTGCTCCTCTTTCAAACTCTTCCCTTTCTTCCCCTCTCTCAGGTAGAGGGTCTGCTGTAGGGAATGAGGGATCACCACTCTTTAGTGCCTTGGAGCCTTCAGTGCCCTAAAGAGCAAAGAAACACACGTTTGTGCTGTGTCTTAATTTGGAACATCAAAATCATTAAAAGTAAACTTTTTTTTTAAGGAAAAAAATTGGACTATTTATTAAATTAGGGTGTACTTGGGGGTGGGGGAAAAAATTGATTCTTAGATGCATTGCAATGCGGACGTGGACGATTCTGAATCGATTCACAGACGTCAAAAATCGATTTTCTAAATATTTAATTTATAACGTAATGTTGACGGAACGCGAAGGGCGGAACTTGGAAATGGGTAAGTGCAGCACCCAGACAGTCTGAGGCGGCACATAACAAAACACAGTGGGATGAGCGAGAAATCCGACCGGCTCCCTCTGCATTAAAAGCCAGGTTAGGTCAGGAGTCACACCCCAAATGTTAAGAAGAGCCATTTTGTCCTTCCAACAAAAATCAAACCACCTTGGGAGCCACAACATTTAATGTCCAGTATGTCTCAGTATGTGTTAATGTCCTAATATAGACTAAACAATATAAACGAAAACGCAGATTTACTCTACTCTGCTTTAAGATTTAGCTATAGCCGCTTTTCTTCCATCTCCGCCAGAAAACTTTTCCTCAAAAGTTGAATAGTTTCTTGTAAAATGTCTTTCAGCTTTCGGCTGTTTTACGAGGCTGAAGTCACTTCTCATTCGCCAGCTTCTTGCTGAACTTTCCCGCTCCACCTTAAATTCTGACTGTGGCGCCGAAGGTAAATGCGGCACCATTTAAGGTGGAACAGGAAAATTAGAAAGAGAAGCGACTTCATCTTCGCAACTTTTTAGTGTTTGACAGTCTCTCGTTGCTTATAAATATGAACAAGTCCATTCGTCTCCAAATGTTCATCTGTCTTTCTCTTTTCCTTTTTCGTTCACTACTAGCTCGGCGAAACCTCGTTGCTAGGTGACCTGCAGTCTGCACGCCAATTCTCAGTCGTTGCGAAACAGGGCTTTCGCACAATGTTGCACACGTCCTGTCTCGAAGATATTTTACTGACACAGCGACCCCCCCCGACTCTCTACCACGAGACCAAAACCGAAGTTATAAAATCACTAAAGAAAACGGGTAGGACGGCTATAACGTACTGCGTGGTCATCCATCACCACTGGATCTTATTTCACCGTAACAGTGCATTTGATCACAGATGAGTGGCAGCAGCGTCTCCAAACAAGAGCAGTGAATGAGAGCCTTCCAGTTCACTTGCCACATCACTTCCATTTGTTTTATTAATAAAAGATATTGGACATAAATGCATTATGGATCATTACAAATACTTAGCTTTAAAAGTACCAGGTCCTCAGACAGTAAGAAAATAGAAATGCTGCAGAAAAAAAAGATGCATCGAGATGCATCGATAATCGTTTTATAATTGCATTGCAGCCCTCTGAATCGTAATCGAATCGTGAGGTGCCTAGAGATTCCCACCCCTAGAGTGTACAGTATCAGTATAGTATTTAGATGCCTTTGAACTGGCAAAGGCTGTTGAGAGTTCCTTGGACAGCAAAGAAAATAAATAAATTGATCCTCAAACAAATCTTGTTTTATCATCTTTTCTTATTTTGGACAAATTCGGAGAAGAACTGATTCAGAACCAATGAATGGATACAATCAGAGGAATCAGAAGTCAGAAACAACTTGTTAGCACGTAATAATAATAATAGTATAGATGATCTTAATCATTCTGTCCCTGACTCTATCTCCGCGTATGGCTTAGAGGCCAGCGTCCTTCTCTCCCCTGATATGACCCAGTCTACGTCAGGCCGTCAGTCTCTCGCAAGAGAGAGCCAGTCTTATACTGCTGGGGCACCTCCCCAAATGAGCATGAGCTGTCCACGATTAGGGGAGGCACACTCATCGAGTGCTGGTGGCAAACATAGCAACTCCGCCTCTTCTCCACCCACACTCAAATATTGGACTTGTTTCCTGCTTATAAACACTACGGATTGAGATTTTGGGGGCTTATTTTTTTGACATGAGCAGTATAAGTAGAATCAAGACATTAACACAATATCAAACATCAAATTCAAATCCTGACCTTAGTTTTGAAAATTCTTCTACTTCTTCCATTTATTATTATTGTACATTAAATATTTGTTATATTAAATATTGTATGATTGTTTAGAGTATTATGTCATTTGTCAAATAAGAATTAAATAAGAAAATGGACAAACATATATAGGTGGGGAGAACATGACACCTTGTTGCCATGGCAGCGTGGGCAGCCTTTCCTCTTATGTCGCCGATGCTTAGCTTCATGACTGGAGTCGTGGCAGTGGCAGGGGCAGTCCTTCTCTGGCCAATCACAGTCCTGCTGACAACATCACATTATAAAATCTGGATCTTAAAATGAACAAATGAGTGAATGAATGAGTGAGTGAATAAGTGGTTTTGATAAGTGTATATAGGTGAAATATTACTCTCATCATATCCCTACCAGTTTGCTCACCTTGTAGTTCCTGTGCGTGCCCAGCTCTTTCCTTCTCCTGTTCCTGCCTGTCATCTGTGGTATCTTGTGTGTTTCCTCTTCTTCTTCCAAATCAGGGAGTGTGACTTCCTCAAACCCACCACTCACCCCTCCACCACTTGCCAAGCTCACACCTCCATCTCCTCCCTCCGGCCCGCTCCCTGCTTCCTCAGGCCACACTGCTTCCTCAAACTGCCCTGGGCGTGCTGGGGGTGGACGGAGATCATCAAAAAATATAGAGAATTCTCCCTGCAGGTGTGTATGACCTTTAAGGAGGGTGGCCATCTGTGCCTTCAGCTAAGACACCAAAATAGAACAGGATTATTATTATTATTCAAGTAAAAGGAGCAGTAGTATAAGTAAAAAGCACAATCTTATACTATTTTATTAACACAATAAATGAGCCCATGACCATGGTTTATCTGAGTGTAGGAAAATAAGCAGTAGCTTATTAAACTTAAGACTGAAAATCTGGATACAGGATCCAGAACCTAAAGTGGCTTTTTAGTGAAAGTCTCTCATTGACACCGCAACATGTAATAAATCCCTACCATGTCCTGTCTTACCTCCTCTATGCCTGCAGGTGTGAGGGCTGACCCGGTCTGCAGCGCTCTTACAATCTTCTGGTAATGAGAGGGATTCTCACCAAAACTGATCTCCAGCTGCCTCAGGAACCTCCTGCTTCGCTCAAATGCCTGCTGTTCCTCAAACTAGTAAGGGGATGGGGGGAACAAAAAAAAACAAAAAAACACAGCACTTTAATGTATTATTTATTGAAAAGTCTATCACACTGAGAAATTGCATTGATAGGATTATATTTCAACTGAGGATTTGGTATTTTTTGTTCTTATTATTGCAATCATACCTATACATTTTGATATTTTTACCTAAAAATGTAAGAGAAACTTAATTCTCAATTATCTAGAAAGGTCATAAATGAATGCTATAATGAAAGACTGAGCAGAGAAAAGGATAAAAGGTTCACACCAGTCCACACTCCAGAGCCTGCTCTGGGAGGAGGAAAGCTGCAAAGTCACTCAGTAGCTCAGGCCAGTCTTTGAGGAGAGGTTTTAGCTGAGAGAAAAGTTCCACTGCACTACGGCTCTCCCCTCCTTGCTCAAACTCATACAGCAGACTCAAAAACTCCTCCATTTTACCAGGGGAATCCTGCATAGCCTCCCGCACCTAAGACAGAAAAACAGGGACAGGGAGATGAAGCGAACTGACTTATTAACAGAAATAAGATTTCAAATTATCAGTTGATAACTACTTTCCATGTAAACTTGGAATAGTTCAATAATTTAGAGGTATATCCGTGTCTTCAGAAGGCAGAAGCCAGTAGAAGCTGAGATTACTGCCTGTAGTCATTGATAGTACGATACAGATATGGCAGACATTAGAGATTACATTGAAAAACTCTGGACTTTTGTTCTGTAGAGTCATGGTTTCAACTATTGGCAACTATCAACCAAGTCCACCGACCCTGTTGAGGTAGGCCTGTGCAAAGGCAATGTCCTTGCTCTCCCTCAGTGGATCATTATCCAGGATGTGGTCATCATAAAGGAGGAGAAGTTTAGAGGTATCCTTGCTGCCTCGTTCTTGCCGCCTGCTCCGCTTTAGACTACGGGGTGGAGGCCGACCACGACCTGTGGAGGGCAATGAATAATTCAATCAAAGTTCTCATTATCCAGTCACATCAAAAAGCTCAATATTCTCTGTAGTCTAAGAGAAGTTTGGATCAGCACAGTATTCAAGATTCAGCAAATACGAAAACACAGGTAGAAGCCCATGACTTAAACTCTGACCTCTCCCACGTCCAGCTCCTTTCCCACTGGTCTGTGGAGGGTCGTCGCCCTGCGGCACGTCTCCTTCAGGCAGTTTTCCTCCATCTCCTTCTGTGGGTTCCAGCTCCTCACCTTTCATTGCCCCATCCTCCTCATCTTCAGAGTTCTCCTCCTGGGAGTTTTGAGAGATAGGGGAGGTGGGGGAAGTTGGTGAAGTGGGCGAGTTTGGAGAGTTGTCCTCTTCTGAATCTCCTTCCCCGCACAGTCTTCGCTCCGATGCCAACCACGTCAACTTTTCCATTGTCTCCTGTAGTAGTGAGCAGAAAACAAAAGGAAAGAACAGGAGCCACATGATATATATTCTGCAAAACGCTTCCCAAGCGGTGCAACATTGTAAACTGACTAAGAAAAAGCAAGGTAAGTGAGAAACCACTGCACATCTCACTTCACCTCTGGAAATACAGTCAACAGCATTCCTAGTCATGGATGGCACGACAGAACCCCCAGGCCACTAGGGACATGCCTGTTTACCATGCAATCACCCTATATCTGTGCTACAATGGAGCTGTACCGAAAGTTTTTTTTTTATGTATGGTTCTTTTACAATGCTACTTTCTGCTTCATTCTTGGCGTTGAACACAAAGACACTTTTCCCTAAAATCAAAGATGCAGCACAAACCTGCAGTTCAGGCACTGAGAGGACAGATTCCTCTGATGCCGATGACATCACTTCCTCTTCATCTTCATCTTGCGTGAGCTCATCAAAGTCCTCCTCTTCCTCTTCACGTTCTCCATCTCCATCCTTTTCTTCATCATTCTTATCTCCTCCTCCATTCCCCTGCCTCCCTCCATCACTATCTCCTTCTCCACCACCTCCTCCATCTCCTCTCTTCTCTCCTTCATTTCCACCTCTTTCTTCACCTCCTCTACGCTCTCCATTCTGCTGCCCCTCTCCCTCATCCCCTTCTCTTCTGTTTGCCTCGCTTTGTCCCTGCCCTCCTCCGGATGGTTCCTGGTTCTCGGCTCCTGAAGTGAAAGCCAGCAACCCTGGTATTTTGTTACAGTCCTTCTCCTTAATGTTTTTACCAAAGTAGCTGCCAGGTTCATCTCTGTCTTGTCTCTGTTCTTCAGGTCTAGGGCTGCCCCTGGTGTCCTCAGTTATGTTCTCTGAGCTTCTGTCCACATTACTGCTGTTGAGACAGGAGTGTGGGCTACAGGAGGACTCTGACAGTGTAAGAAGGGGGCTTCCAAAAAGGGCCCCTGCCATCTCCTCTCCACCTACCTCTGCTCCCAACTCCATCTCCTCTTTCCACACCTCACTACCACCACTGTCCGTGCATGGCGGAGCCGTGACATGGACCACAGCACCTCCTGAAGGCAGCCCAACACTGAGTGACAAACGACCTTCACTAACATTTGGCTGACTTGAGGTGTGAAAAGTCTTGGATTTAGATAGCGTAGTGTGTTGCTGAGGCACTCTGCTTTCTCCCTCAGCAGCATGCAGCACTGGATGCTTTGGGATCAGACTGCTTTTGGGCACAAGAAGGAACTGTGGTGTGCCTTCCTGTGAAGCTGCCTGAACCAGCACATACTGGGAATTATCACCTGGTAGACCAGTCAATCTGGACAGGTTGTGAAGGCCAGTAGCTGGTGATGTAGCTCCACTGCAACTGTTCTGAGGCAGTAGTGAACTAGAGATGAGATTTGTAGTGCTTAGGTTATCTAGAGTGTTCAGTGAGGAGGCACTTTGGTGATCCGTCACTGGAACATCACATGCAAGTTCACCCTTTATGTTGTTCAAGGCAGGACTGTGCGAGGAGTGTTCCTGCTGGTCCAGGGTTGGCACTGCAGGGCTTGATTTGAGGTTTTCAACAGCTTCTAGAGGGGGAGGAGTATGTGAGGAAAAGAACAGGACCAGACTTCAATTTAAACTCACTCTCAGCAAGTTCCTTAGGACAGTCTACGCTTGGGATTCCGACACTGTTGCTAGGCAACAATGGCCTGGCCAGTGTTCCTACGTGAGGGAGGCTGCTGACGGGTTGAGTGGTTAAATCTTGAGGAGGGCTGTTGGAAGACTTCACCCATCCCTGTGCGGTAACTTGTGGATGGACAGCAGCAGCACCCAGTAATGAGGAAGGCTGGATGATGACCACAGATGGAGCTGCACTTTCAATGTTTTCAGCAAAATTTGCAGTGCCCTGTTCCACAACTGGTGCGGTGGCAGCCAGATTCACACTCACTTCTGCACCAGGAGTGAGGGGTATAAGCTGTGTCAGCTGAGGGCCTTGATTTAATGGAGAGGGCTGGATAGGAAGCAACTTTCTAGGCACAAATCGTTTCTTAGGCATCTCTGTTTTCAGTGGCACAGACTGTATAACACACGTGGTAACTACCCTGTTACTGGAGACAGGGGCGCTACAGGATACAGCTGGAGTTGAGGGTATCTGGACTATAGCAGGAGGCAAACTAGCAGGAGGCTCTGCAGGGTTAACACAACCTTGCTGTGGAACAACATACTGAAAGTTAGCAGGACCAACACTGCTTAATGGCACCGTTCCATGAGCAGGTGTGGAGGTTACCTGGCTCACTGGGAGAGCCCCATTTACCGGGATGCAAGGGGTCTGGGTCAACAGAATTACCCCTTGAGAGGGAAGAGGTGCTGGGACTTTTGGCAATAAATTAACTGTGCCTGTAGCACAAGGAGGGGCTTTAGCCAATGGTGTAAGAGCAGGCTGTGCAAAACCATGCAGAGGGCGAGGTTTTGGCGGTCGAGCAGAACTTTGGCGCCTGGCCGAGGGATGTAGTAGGAGAGTCAAACCTTTAGGGATGTATCGAGGGTACTGTGTTCTTTCTGGAAAGATGAGGGGAGGTGAAGTGTTAGTTGCCTTACTATCAGACTGTGTTCTCTCTTCTGACTGGCTCCCAAACACTGCTTTATGGATGTGTGGCAAGCTTTTCTGTAAAAAAAGAATTCAACATTAGGACAATTCATTTCATTTTATTCATTTCAGTATTTGTGGCAGTGTAATAACTCCAGTATGAAAAACATTTATTAAATAAATTCTTCTCACCTCACTGACTCATTATTTTGTACATTTATTTCTTAAAAATATATACATATTTTTTGGCTAATTTATTTTCAGGAGAAGTTTTGTACTGTACCCGAAGCCAATTGGGCATGATGTTCTTCTCTCTCTCCACAGGGGAGCGCTCCTCTCCAGGGACAACTGGAGAGCAGGCCACTGGTAGAGGAGGAACAATGCGGTTTTGGCAGTAATACTACAGAAAAGAAAATAAAAGAACATTTCAGGTCAGTCCTCTGATAACATAAGACATCCCTTTGCAATTGCGCCATAAATAGTATTTGTACCTAGAGAAAGCAGATCTCTTAATTATCACAACTACAAGTATATAAAAGATGTATACTGATTATTAAATGTGAAGCACCTTGATGATATTGTCTGCAGCCCTGCTTGAGCACATGTCCTTCACACGAACCCGCAGCTGCTCCAGCTTCTTAGGCAAAATGAGATACTGGCTCATTAGATGGTAGGGGAACTCTGTCTCACTAAAGTGCTTCAGACCCAGAACAATTAGACTTGAAGTGGGGGGAAAAAAAACACGAGAATTAACAAAGAAAAAAGCTAGGGTTCACCACATCAGTGCCACCTCATAACTGTCACAAGTCACTGTTATGAGCCTAACATGTGCCTCTTAAGTTTGTTTTGGTATTTCTATCAGCATTCTGGCATTCTGCTGACTCTCACTGTTTGAATCATCTCTTCAGAATCTGAGTAAAATAAAGTGTAGGGTAACTGAGTAGCATACCCATCTTCTCCCTTGGTGTAGAAGTTCTTGCTGCGTGGGGGTTGCAGAGCTGGGTCCAGGCTGCAGTGGGGTAATAACTCTGGGTAGAGGAACACAGATCGAGTGGCAAAAAGCCAGGCCAGGTGTGCTGGGAGCAACGGATAGGAATGAACTGCAGAGACAGAGACAATGAAACACACAATAATACTTTCCACATGTTAACATGTTGGACAGAATAACGATCCAGCTTCCCCTACACAAGTAACAAGGGTCAGAGTAACAAAAACCCCAAATATATGATATAGTTTGAAGCACATATATCTTAAACTAAGTATTTTATTTGTGCTCACAGCCATCCTAAATGATATTTTAAAAATAAACCTTAAGTACATATTAAAGATGGTACAACATAGGACATACTAGCAACCTTGTGAGATGTCTCACCAGCATGTGATCGTGTGGCTTTGACTGAAGGAGAGGGAGTGTGCTTCAGCTCTTCTAGCAAGTTCAGAGATGGCTGCAGGTTACACACCCTGAATGAACTCCTGAACCTGGGGTGAACCATTGCTCTCACTTGCTCTGCACGCTCTGCAAATGACTGCAACTCGGTCTGAAACACAGTACAGAAAACCAATACAGCACTACTCAACTGCAATAAGCCAAACTCTACACTTTGTAACAGTCAGTAATAGGTAAGACGAGACAAACACACAGTAATTTCATGCAAACAGCAAATATCACTTAGACTTCATTCACGTGTCCAGATATTTTTCCAGACCGTTTTTTCTGTTTTGGCCTCCAAAAATGCCACTTTTGGTCACTGAACATGTGGATGGCCAAAACGCATCTTTTTGAAAATGCTGACATAACAGTATTAACTTGCGTATGCCTGTTTTCATGAGTGTTCAAAGCTCTGCCTGAAATATGGCTGATGACTGCATTGTTACTGTGTGCTCAGCAATCTGGAGGGGTGTGTGTGTGTGTGTGTGTGTGTGTGTGTGTGTGTGTGTGTGTGTGTGTGTGTATGTGTGTGGACTACGCCTCATTTATTGTGGTTAGATTTAGTAGTTTACCATAGCTTTCTGTTGTTTTATGGAAACATCCTGAGAGCAGCAAGTCTCATTGCCTCAGGTTGATCAAGGATATCCTCATTCAAGGACATTTTTGCACTGATGTAAGACGAACCCGTCTAAGAGAAGAGGAGAAATTGATATTTACCAGGAATAGTCTGGTGGTGCTGGCCTGGCTCTGCAGTGCCTCCACGGGGCTACACAGCATATTCACCTGGGTCAGGAGTTGGACATGCTGCAGGGAAAAAAGGTGAGAATCTACTAACTGGTGAAGGACAACAAATTATACAATGATTTAATTTTATTTTTACACCTGGGAAAAGCTGAAAGAAAAAAGGTATGGATATGAGCCCACAATTCAGTTAATCACTCTCATAACTACATAATATGTAGTGGTGTGAAAAAGTGTTTGCCCCCTTCCTGATTTCTTATTCTTTTGCATGTTTGTCACACTTAAATGTTTCAGATCACCAAACAAATTTAAAATATTAGACAAAGATAACACAAGTAAGCACAAAATGCAGTTTATAAATGAAGATCTTTATTATTAAGGAAAAAGAAATCCAATTCCACAGGGGCCTGTGTGAAAAAGTGATTGCCCCTAAACATAAGAACTGATTGGGCCACTCTTAGCAGCAACAACTGCAATCAAGGGTTTGCGATAACTGGCAATGAGTCTTTTACAGCGCTGTGTAGGAATTTAGGCCCACTCATCTTTGCAGAATTGTTGTAATTCAGCCACACTGGAGGGTTTCCGAGCATGAACTGCCTTTTTAAGGTCATGCCACAGCATCTCAATCGGATTCAGATCATTGTCCTGCTGCAGAACCCAAGTGCGCTTTAGCTTGAGGTCACGAACAGATGGCCAGACATTCTCCTTCAGTATTTTTTTGGTAGACAGCAGAATTCATGGTTCCATTTACCACAGCAAGTCTTCCAGGTCCTGAAGCTGCAAAACAGCCCCAGACCATCACACTACCACCACCATATTTTACTGTTGGTATGATGTTCCTTTTCTGAAATGATGCGTTACTTCTACGCCAGATGTAATGGGACATACGCCTTCCAAAAAGTTCAACTTTTGTCTAGTCAGTCCACAGAGTATTCTCCCAAAAGTCTTGGGGATCATCAAGATGTTTTCTGGCAAAACTGAGACGAGCCTTTATGTTCTTTTTGCTCAGCAGTGGTTTTCGTCTTGGAACTCTGCCATGCAGGCCATTTTTGCCCAGTCTCTTTCTTATGGTGGAGTCATGAACACTGACCTTAACTGAGGCAAGTGAGGCCTGCAGTTCTTTGGATGTTGTTGTGGGGTCTTTTGTGACCTCTTGGATGAGTCGTCGCTGCGCTCTTGGGGTAATTTTAGTCAGCCGGCCACTCCTGGGAAGGTTCACCACTGTTCCATGTTTTCGTCATTTGTGGATAATGGCTCTCAATGTAGTTTGCTGGAGTCCCAAAGCTTTGAAAATGGCTTTATAACCTTTTCCAGACTGAGAGATCTTTGTTTCTCATTTGTTCCTGAATTTCTCTGGATCGCTGCATGATGTCTAGCTTTTGAGGATCTTTTGGTCTACTTCACTTTGTCAGGCAGGTCCTATTTAAGTGATTTCTTGATTGAGAACAGGTGTGGCAGTAATCAGGCCTGGGTGTGGCTAGGGAAATTGAACTCAGCTTTTCAAAGATGTGATAAACTACAGTTAATTTATGTTTTAATGGGGGGTGGGTGGGGGGGGGCAATCACTTTTTCACACAGGGCCCTGTAGGTTTGGATTTTTTTTTCCCCTTAATAATAAAGACCTTCATTTATAAACTGCATTTTGTGTTTACTTGTGTTATCTTTGTCTAATATTTAAATTAGTTTGGTGATCTGAAACATTTAAGTGTGACAAACATACAAAAGAATAAGAAATCAGGAAGGGGGCAAACACTTTTTCACACCACTGTACACATTAGTTTAATAGTAGTGACCAAATAGTAATCATAGTCAGTCAGTAACACAATAGTTAAGGACTATGATTTCATGATGTGGTCATTAAAGAAGTTTGATAATAAATCTTAAAATTAATTACTGAACAATACTGAACAAAACTGAAGGAATTAAGGGAGATGAATGATGTAATGTTAGGTATTAAGTGCCTGTATTTATCAGAAAGTGTCACTGTTTCCTGTCAACCTAATATCAGGCTCCATTCTCCATACCTGCTGGATCTGCTGCTGCAGCTGTCGTTTCTGGGTGGGCGTTACCACCAATGTGCAGGGGGGCGGGATGAGCACCATGGTGGGCCCTGGTGTGCTCAAGCTGGGACGGTTCTGCTGTTCTCTCCGCTGCTGGAGAGCGTCTAGCTGCTCTCGGACTGTACGCCTACACGTGGTCAACATGTGGGCCAGAGGCTCCTCAAACCTTTACACAGCCACACAGAAGAGTTTTAATAAGTTAAAACACACATGCACTAATAAAACACATGTGCACAGATCATAGAAATCATAGTAAATTTGCCCATACTGCACATCCGCCACATATCCCCCCCCGACATTTTTAATGAATTAAAAACACTAATTTCAATTTCACTATTTCGATACTCAAGCAAAAAAAATAAATAAAAAATAAAAAGACATGTACCACTAGAATATATACAACTTATGTACAAAATAAATAAACAAGTAAATAAATAAAAGATGTAAATGTATAACACAAAGTATTAATAAACAGTGAGCATCAAAGTTTCTTTAATAACAGAAACATGTCTTGGAACCAGGGAAATTCCCTTCCAAATCCCTGTTTTACAGCCATATTCATGTAATAAAAAAAAACTCTCACGCTTCATTGAGCATGATTTGCCCATAAGCTCTCTCAGCCTAACCGTACTAAAAGTCAATTAAAGCTTAGTCACACACACACACTCCCCCAAAGAGAACAGAACAGAGTCTCACATCCACACAAACACACATACAGGGCTTTATGTCAACGTGGAAAAAGGCAGAACAGACGTCACTGTGGCTCGTTAACATTTTGAGCTTCACATCAGGCAGGAGATGAGCGTCTGTTCCCAGAGCTACGTGACGCCCACAAGCACACATATGCCACGCTGAACAAACCCCCAAGGTGAACAGTCTCTCAGCCAGTATCACAGAGAATCTGGGATATGGAACTTAACATGAGCTGGGGCCCAACATATTTGAACATTTTGTGACCGATACCAATAACCGATTATTGGTGCTTTAAACTCAGAGAGATCGTTTATTAAATATAAATATTCATGTACACTATACAGCCCAAAGTATGCGGACAGCTCTGTAAAATGTGCCGTCATATGATGTCACCAAGCCAGCCTGTGAAATTTCTGCTCCAGTCAAATTTAAGTCCTATTATCGTAAAATGGAAGCAGCTAGGAGCAACAACAGCTAAGCCTCGAATTGGTAAATCATGCAAACTCAAAACGGGGCCACCAAGTGTTGATGTGTGCAGTGCATAAAAATCTCATATCCTCTGTTCCATCACTCACTACAAAGTTCCAGACTGCCCCTGGGAGCAACATTAGCACAAGAACTGTGAGAGCTTCACAAAAAGGGTTTCTATGTCTGAGAAGCTACACCCAACTTCTGTGCAGTGCCAAATGCTGGTTGGAATGGTGTAAAGCACACGGTGACTGGACTCCGTGTGAAACTGGAGTGATAAATCACACTTTACTATCTGGCAGTCTGATGGACAAATCTGGGTTTACCTGATGTCAGCAAAACGCAACCTACTCAAATGAATGGTGCCAACAGTGAAGTTCGGCTGAGGAGAAATAATGATCTGGGACTGTTTTTCAGGGTTTACAACATACTTCCAGCACTGTGGAAAGAGTCTGGGGAAGGCCCTTTCCTGTTCCAGCAATGGCAGGTATGTATATGAAAAATATTGTATATTGGCATCGGCTCACATTTCCCAAAACGGTACATCCCTACAATTTACATTTATAAATGTAATTATTTCTAATTCAGTTAATTGCTCTACTCAGTTGTACAAGCACTGAAAAAATGAGGGTCACAGAGTGGCAACAGCGATGGACAGAGGGGAACAAAGGTAGTTGTTTGTGGGTGTGGACCAGGCATGTAGCAGCCATCTAATCCAGTAAATAAGGTCTATTCCTGTAACTTTGCTTGAACTCACATGTACATGTAGATGACAGAATTAACAAAATCCAACTTATATCCTACCACTGAAACATTCACACATGACTGGTGTACAGCTGGAGTATGTGTGTGTCTCTGTGTGTAAATCTGTGCACCTTCCTGCTCAACTCTGTGTGTTCAAACGATGTATTTGCATCTATGCACATGTGTGTGCGTGAGACCAAGCCTGGGGACACAGCTGCTATCTATTCCGGTAAATGAGATCTATTCCTGTCTGCCATACCTGGAACCTGCACGTCTCTCACACACACCTTTCAACAGGAGATAGGATTAGCATCCTCAAACACACTCCCAGCAATTCACAAACACACACCTGTATGCTCTCGGCAGTGAATAAGTGTTAGTACGTGTTCACTCGTGTTTTGTAGCTCTTAAGTGTTCACACTGAACTTACTCTCTGCCATAAGTCAGGTGACACCGTGAGCGCATCAATCTGCCTCCCTACCCAAACAGACACAGCACCCCTCTGCTGCTCTGTCCCAAAGGGAGAACTGTGTATACACATTTGCTATAAATATTTTATTTTGTTTATTTCATTTTGACAGTGTGTGTGAAAGTATGTGTGAGAGATTGTGAGATTGTATTTATAGTTTCTGGTAGCACTGCCGTGTCGGTAAAGCTTACTACAGTCGACTCAAACGTCTGTGGCTGAGACACTACTTGCACATCCACAAAGGTACTGGATGGAGTTCCATCACTCCAGAGAGCAGTTCCACAGCTCCACAGCCCAGTAGGGTTTTATAACCTTTTAAGTGACGCTTGGCATTAGGCATGGTGACTGTAGGCTCAGGTATGGCTGCTCCAGAGCATCCCTTTCTATTGGCAATACTTTTCAATGGATATTATAGCTGTGTGCGTGAGCAATTGTCAGCAATAGGTGCACCTTAAAGCAACTTTTGGATACATAGCATATGCTGAATTTTTTAAAACACAGCATTATTGCCGCATACACCACGTCAAAAAAAAAATAAAATAAATTGTGATATGACCGAGGACCATTTAGACTAGAGCAGTGGTTTGGCCAAGTATTACAGCAGTGGCGATGTGCTTTACAGAATACGTGCCCAGAGGCACACTCTTGGATTCACAGACACAGCAGCAGATGCTAGATAGCACTGTGTCAACAAGAACACGAGAGAGGGGGGCAAAGCAAAAGAAAAACAAAAGAATAAAAAAAACAATGAAAAGAAAGAATAGAAAAATCTAAGAGTATTTTGCTCATTTTGAATGCATGTAATGCAGCAGTCAGATGGAATGCAAAAAAAAATTGCTTGGCGGAAATGCAATCCACTTGAAAGGGAAAACGTGGGAATGCAGTGGTCTCATCTTTCTTCAAAAAGAAGAACTGTTCCTGAGTCAACATAATGCTCCTTGTTGCTCGATGTGGAAAAGGTAAGTGGGTTGTGCTGGAAAAGGGGGACTGGGTGGGGTGGGGTGACTTTTCATTTCTGCCCAGCAAAGAAAATAACGATGCAACAGTTGTGACTACAGCTTAACACCACAAAAACAGAAAGAGAAAATGTTCATTCTAAATGCACAAATTATGGATTGGATCATTGGATAGGTAAAGTGTATTGTACCGAATAGCTTGCGGGACATTGAATTTAGCAGCGCTCTGTGGCGATATCTCTTCGTCCCGCTCCTCGTCTTCCTCATGGCCCTCGTCATCCTGCTCATTGGCTCCCAATTCATCCTGGAACTAAGGAGGAGATATAAAAGTGAGCACATACCAAAACAGCGTTTTAAAAAGACATTTGGTTTATTATTCCTTATTTTGAATCCTCTTACAGTTTCAAACAGTTCCTCCAAAAGCTCATTAACTTCCTTCTCTGCAGGAAGAATTAGAAGCAAAATACTGAGTTACAAGAAAAGACAAAGTGCTTTAAAGTGAACAGATGTGGTTATCTAATGACAAAGAATCATTTAACAGCGTCTTATAGGAGTGACAGCCTGACTGAACTCACTGGTAATGCGAACTGCTCGATCATTACGGTAGTCCTCCAAATCTGGCTCATCAAGATCATCAAGGAAGTTATACTCGGGATCATCGTCATCATCACCCTCCTCTGAAAGAGAGAATGAATGGAGAGAGAGAGAGAGAGAGAGAGAGAGAGAGAGAGAGAGAGAGAGAGAGAGAAAGAGAGAGACAGACAGACAGAGAGAGAGACAGACAGACAGAGACAGAGAAAGAGAGAGTGAGAGAGATAGAGAGAGAGAAAGAGAGAGAGACAGACAGACAGAGAGAAAAAAGAGAGAGAGAGATAGACAGACAGGCATGCAGAGAGAGAGAGATTATAAGAATGTGTCAATAAACAAACAAGACTGACAAAGCACAATATTGTGCAGTGTTGGATGGTATTAATCAAATTCAAAATTATAATATTTTCCAAATATATCACAATAAAAAATCTATTTACTTACTTTTTATACATTTAAAAACGTTCCTTAAAAAAACACTGCAGTTAACTAGGTTTGTTATCTATGGAAGCCCCATTTTTTTTATTATACTCTCTTATGATTAAGTTAGTTTGCATTTGTTTCCTCAATATATTGAGTTACTTGTCATTATCATGAGATAATGACATAAAATAGTACATAGATCATAACAATACACCACACTTGTACCTACTGACAGAAGGACATCCTGAACATTCATGATAAATATGTTTTTCCCTTGCTGCAGTCTCACAGCCATGAATTTAAATGGTATGGCTTTTCACAATCTCAGAACAAACAAAAAGTTTCTTTCACAGAATGCTGGTGTACTGCAGAGTGTAACCACAGCAAACATCAGGCTCAGATTCTTAACTGGACCACCAGCAATACTGACCAATACAGACCTCAAATTAAATTCTGCCAGTGCCCTCAGTGCACAGAACTAACTGATACACACCCTGATTATTGTTTGATACTTTCTATGTAGGTCCACCGCTTGCCCTGCAAGATAACAGCAGCAAGATTTCATACTAATTATGTTGTTACCTCGAGAAAAAGTGCAGAGGAAATGATTGTTATACAAGGAATGTTTGCTAAGTCAACATAACATAACGACACAAATAACTATGTGAAAGTAATTAAAATAATCTAGTAAAAAACACTAGAAATCTAGAAAACACTAATCCATGGTTTTAGGACTTCTAAAGTTATCCATCAACACACAAAAAAAAACTAATAAATATTGTTTTGAGACATCAAGTTTGGTACACCATTGTAGATGATGTATCTTCCAGCACAAAGGCTTGGAAAAGAGAGGGAAATAGAGAGATGACTCAGTGTAAGGGCTACAGACTACACAAATGTGGCCACACAAAAGGGGTGCAAACATAAACACACTCAAATAGTGGTGATGCATAAAAGGAGATGAGTAGGGGAAAGGTCAGGGAACAAAAACAGAAGAGGGCAAACAGACACTCAGCCATTAAACCACAAGGACGCACAAACATAGACACATTAAACTAAGTACAGACAGACACCACATCTAAAGTAAGCCATTAAAACGTTGTGAAGCATCTGTCTAGGAAAACAGTCCTTGACAGCACGTCTCATTAGCAAATACCCCATGCTTACACTCTAACCTTTAGTCCACTGCCAGCCCATGGTTCTGAAATGCAGACTTATCCCTATCTCAGCTTGAATTTATTTAAATCCTTTTGTGTAGTGTGTGAACTCTGACCTTCATTGTCCAGTTGTGAGGTCATTAGGCCCTGTAGCCACTGGCTCCACTCTCTGTCCTCCAGCGCAGAGACGCAGTCATACATGTCTGGCGTGATGTCAGGAGCGCGCAGTTCTGCCTCCAGCTGGTCCAGCGGGACGTCCCTCAATGGGCGCTTTGAACGTGTACGGCATGCCACCAGGCTTTCCTCTGCACTTTCACTACTGCTCAGAGTCTGAAATACAGGGGATTTAGAAGTTCTTTAAATCCAAAAAGATTTACGGACTTGGATTCTCACTATCTGCTTATCATTGGAGATAATGTGGATCTACATAAACATAAATAAAGTCCCACACCTATAAATCCACCTATAAGTATAGTTACAGCTCTAATTTAACCCACCTCATTCAGATAATTACACTCTTCACAAGCGTGTGGAAATCACAGCTAGCTGAGTTAAATTATAGTGGGAACTAAACCTTGCAGGGCAGAAAAGACATGCAGAAACAGAGATAAACAGCCATACACATCAGGAGGAATTTTCAGTATTACATTACAGTGATATAGCTTAATTTACTCATGACCATAATTCATATTCCAACACCTGACAGTTGTTTTGGATTCAAAATACTGCCTGCTTAAAAAACAAATAAATTCAAGCAAAAGATCACGTGAAGACGGTCATAGATCTTTACATGAAAATGATCTGAAAATTCTATAATCATAGGACTTTTCTTGTTCATTTCAGCTCAACCCAAATGTGCCCCTGCTATGGTTATTCACTTGGCCTGATATTGAATGACAGTTGTGACATGGACAGAGCTGAGATAAAGGTAAATTATAGATAATCTAGGAAGAGCACTTCAAAGTATACCCTCAGGAAAGGCATGTAGCTGTCCATGTACCTGTCCATGTACCTGGTAAGGCTCCATGCAGAGGGGGTTGAGCTCCAACTCCTGATCCACAGCATCCAATTTCTCCATAAAAGAGTCAAAGGCCTTAGGGGGCCGGGAGGAGCCGCAGGACTGAGAGGGAGGAGCAGGAGGGCCCATAGGCACCACTTCTACTCTCAGATGCCTTGATGGCCTGGGCTTCTGTAGGGCAGAATGTACATTTATGTGCAATTTTAAACTTCATCTGACTACATCAAATAACCGAATAACGGTGAACAAATGAACGAAGATGAAATTTGAAATCAAAAAGTTTGATATTGACTTTTTATTAAAGTTTTGAAAAGGACTAACGTTCCCTTAATGTAAACTACTACAACACAACTATTAGCAGGCACTGCTTAGTTATTGGTGGTAGAGGTGAACAAAAACACTTCTGGAAACATGTTAGATAATTAAATTAGATATTTAAACATCTTAATGGCCCTTACAGGGGAATTCCTTAGATTGTTCAAAACATCTGCACAATTAAAAAATTAAGATGTAAACAAAGTCATTCAGAGTGATGTGACGTGAGATGCTCCATTCTAGAGAACCTTACTAAGTTAAATTGTTCACAGTGGTAGGAACCTGATATCTGAAGCATTTAGTTCCTCTAAAATCCTTCTTACAAAAAAGTTATTTCACAAAAAGGTAAACATTAAAAGATATCCTATTCAGTAAGCTTCTCTACAATTAACCATTTCATATCAAACCACTCTGGATGAGTTTGTTTACATCAACTGAATTATGCAGAAAAAATGGTGGGATTCTCCTTCAAATGTGTAAACAAACATACACATCCTTCACAACACCTTTAACGATGTACAGAAAATATGAAAAGATATAGAAAAAGGCCTCTCTATTCACCCTTTTCCTGGACGTCTTATATGTGGACCTACACTTTAACCTTAAGAAAAAAGTTAAAATATACAGACCCTCAATATCCCAAATTGTATGGGGTCCTCAAATCGAAGTTCTAAACTCTTATTGGGAAGAACTGTGTGTAAATTGTTACAAGTTACCGGTCGTGGACTACTGCTCCTTTCTTCATCGCACTCGGAGAGCTCTATGGGTGTGCAAGAGCGACCTCGTCTACTGATGCGTGGTGACGATGCTATGCTGTCCATGTCACTCTCCAGAATAGTCTGAGAGTCACAAATACACAATCAATTGCATTTATACTCCACAAATTATCAACTGTATGCTTGTTACTGTAGTTCTAACAGGCTGAGTAAGCAAAACATCAGCACCTCCTCTGCAGTCTCATCCTCTTCATCCTCATCAGGATGATACTCTTCGTCTGAAGAGTCTTCTTCATCCTCAAGAGGAATGTCTACAAATTGAGGAGGCTTAAGAAAATAGAGAGCAAGAGAAAGAAAAAATAAAAAAGCATTATTATTATTATTATTGCATTGTAACAAAACACAACTTACTGTAATGTTCAATAAGATACAGAAGACTCTACATTGGGATACCTTTATTTCATTTGATTTCTTGATGGGTGAAATGTTCCAGGTGGGTATTCCCTGAAAGACAAAGCAAAGTCAAAAGGACAAGGAAAATAATATATAAATCTCCACATGCAACACCAACATAAAATAAAGTTTTTGAGAACAAAAAGAGAAACAAAGACACCAAACGTACCACGCCTTTCTCAACAACCTCTTTGAGCTTTGAACGAGTCATCTTGGGCTCCTATGTTGAAAAGACAAGAGTATTTCAGGATGATTACATAAACCTAAAAAGTTACAAATGCTGGAAAATCTTATAACCTTTGATAAAAAGGGGAAAAATACATACAAACATGGGCATGTCCTGCGTCTCTCTAATGGCTGCTTTCATCATGGCCACTACGTGTTCATTAGTGATCACCTCCTGTAGTTGAACAAAAGCCAAGAGGAAAAACACAAGTGATTACATCTCCAGTGAACATAAACATGCTTGTTTAAACAGATAACCATCACACATTAAAGCTAATCAAAACTATTCAGTTTGAGCAAGGTCTGGTGCCATACCCTCAGCAGGACTTACATGAATAATGTTGCGCACGTTGACAGAGGTCAGGTTGTGTTGTTTGGACTTGATGGCTAAATCTCGGTCCAGTTTTCTGAACTCTGCTTCACTGTCCTCCTCCTGATCAGTTCCTTCAGCTGTCCCCTCTTTATCTGGCATTGATCTATCATTATTTGTTAGTATTCCTTTCTTCATTTTTCCACCTGTTTTTCTCCTTAGCTGGTCCTGTTTCTCACCTTTCTCTTCATCTACAGAGAAAAATACCAATCAAAATCAAGAATGAGACTAGATAACCCAATGGCAAGGACGCAGCATAAAATACAAAAGCTTTTCTAACTGCTTCTGTAAAGACTACATCACCAACATAACTTGCCATGTACAAATATCAGTTTAGTAAATTATTGTTAGTGTTTGAAATCAGACAATTCACAAAGTAAATTCAAAGATCCTGAAAGATGAACGCACCTAGTGTGATGACCAGTCCCAGCTCTGTGTCCTCTTCTGAGTGAAAGGCAGCTGACTCAGGACTGCTGGACGACTGCACACTGTCATTTTTCCTCTCTGAATTATCTATAAACAAACACACTAATCACTTTCTAGTGCCAGACCCACACACAAAAATAGCTTCAGTAAACTGCAGAGCACCTCAGTAGGAACACTGCTCAACCTTACAGTTCAATGACATGGTCTAAAGTAATGTTCAAAGTAGTGATGGTACAAGACCACTTTTCCAATACCAATGCCACTACTGAAACCTTGAGTACTGGAGCGATCCCTTGCACTTTTTTCTTTATAACTTACTAAGCTGTAAATAGAAATATTTTGTATAATATTTCTATACTAACACATCATGCTCAAACTACTCAAATACTATCTCTCCCTCACAGCTATATTATGTGCTTTCTGATGTTATGACTTATTTTACTTTGCTTTACATTTTGTGACAACAATCTTGTGATATTTTTTTAGGCTAGCTTGGGACTTAGAATTAGCATGCATTTATTTCCTCTGATCATCAGCCTGATGCTGACCTCAGGTTTGAACATTTAAACATATCTACCAGCTTCTTCTTACTGTACCTTGTGTCTGAACATGGCATTTAAATCTAGGAGAATGCCTTCTAGGAGAAGAAGAGTTCAGGGCCTTTCTCTTGTTAGGAGTGGAGATCTTCTTTTCTGGACTGAGTGTCAGTTTGCAGCCACCATGGGATCCAGAGACAGAATCCCTCCGGACAACTTTTGATGGAACAGTTTGAGGCTCTGGGGAGCTGGACTTGCGTCTTCGGCCCGTTTTCATCTCGCTTCTGGGGCTAATACAAATCGGAAAATTACACATTTGTGCTTGTCCAGTTCATTATTCTAATCAAACATTCCCAAGGAGACTTCATCTGGAATGCGAACTGAGCAATACATTTTATTTCCCTTAGCTTTAACACTTGAAGACCCATTAATCATCATTTAAAAGCACAAAGATGTGGAAGAGCAATGGTAACAGCAGAATTTCAAACATGACCAATAGATTTACAGCATTATGGACAATAATACTTTGCAATAATTGGAAATGACTGAAGGAAACAGTGTAAATACATTAATTAACTCACTGCTAGAGGGAAATTCAATAAAAGTAGGGCTTTATCATTCAGGGTCTATTGTATGTCCGTCACATATTATCATATCATTCACTGTCCCTACGACCTCAGTCTACCCAATGCAGACTCCCCAGGACACATTAGCTACCAGTCTGCGTAACCAATGTTGTTTTTGGTAAACATACACAGTAAGTTAGCTTGCAAGCTAAGCTGGCTAAAGCTAACTACTGCCTCCCATTGACCTAACTGATGCAAAGATGAAAGAGCGCTATTTTATGACTAATCTTGAACGAAAACATAAATTTCTGTCCACTGTCACAGTCTGGGGAGAATGGTGCTCAGGGCGGCCAGTTACCTTTAGCTAGCAAGCTAAATAGTCCATTCCTTTGTAAAGTACAAAACCTGTTAGCTGAATTGCTAACGTTGCACGTTATCTGTCGCCTCAGCAAGATAAACAGAAAACAAATATTTTCTTCTTTTTACACTATCTAACATATTTTATATTGTTGCTACAAGCTTCTCTAGACTACAGACAGCACCGACTGAAACAGAGCAATGTTGCTAGCTACATTCATTTATCTGGCTGCTAACAACACAGCTAAACAGCTAACTGATGTTAGCAGAAACGTTGTATTCACAGCTTTGTTCAGGTAACAGTGTCGTCTGTCCAACACTTTAGACAGGGGCCTTTTTCACCCCTTCAGTCATTTAATAAGCAACTAATAAACTGCTTACCCTGAAACAGCTCTTTGTAGCCATCAGTAGCTAGCTAGCTTCTGCACTAGCCAGCCGGTCCACAACAAACTGACGTTTCGCGGGTGATGCGACCATTTCCCATCCCGGAGGGCAAAAGTTGCAATCTACAACTACCGCCCCCTATAGGCTGAATACTAAGTCAAGTACATTGTGGATGGGTTTCCCAGGCAGGGAGTAAACCTAGTCCTGGACTATATAGCATTTTTCAGTTGAACGGAAAACGTAGTCCAGGACTAGCCTTAATTCTCGACTGGAAAACCTACAATGTATGTCCAAGAGTATCCAGACACCCCTTCAATATATGTCCAAGAGTATCCAGACACCCCTTCAACAAACTTAGTGCATTAGTGCATTAGTGCTAACGTTGCCTACAGCAGCTTTTCAACGTAGCTTCTCTGAAGGCATTAATGATATTGTTTATTCTTGATCATGATACTTTTACTAAACAAGACAGTAGAAAGCTAAACCCAGATACAGATAAATTAGCATCACTTATTAAAATTTAAGGACAGATACATTATTACTTACAAAAACGCAGGGCTACAGATTATTTAGTATATTTTTCTCAAATATTTATTTATTCACTTATTTCTTTATTTATATTTGAGATGTAGGCTTGCTCAGCTGGAGGAGTGCAGGAGGCATGGCCATGAGGAGCCCTTATAGAACCCTTTTCAAAAAAAGAACAGAGCCATCTACAGCACATTCTCCATCAGTCTGAAGAACCTTTTCAGGATGCAAAGAACCCTTTAATCATGCAAAGGGTTCCTTGGGTGTTCAAGGTTTTATTTAGAACCATTTTCTTCACTAAAGAACCCTTGAAGAACCATCTTTTTTAATAGTCTATTCTTTCATTTAGCTTCCCACTATTATTTTACTTAGTTGGTAATTTACATTATTTCCATTTGTTCATTCAAAACAAATACACTAGTTAACATTCCCTGAAATTGGAATAAACAAGAGTTTCAAAGTGTTCCCTATTCCTTCACGCATATACAATACATGGCCAAAGTATCCAGACCGTAACCAGTGAAATCAGCTATTTTAAGGTGCACCCATTGCTGACTCAGGCTTAAGTGCATACACAGAGCTTGTATTTTGTCCATAGAAAAGCACTATCAATAGAATAGGATGATGTGGAGCAGCTGCACAAGAACCTTAGGTCACTATGGCCAATTCCAAGAGTTAACTAGAGGGGTATAAAGCCCCCCAGCACTGGGCTGTAGAGCAGTGGAAATACATTCTCTGCAGTTATGGAGCTCCATCCAGTATCTTTGGAATGAGATGAAGTGTCAAACCAATCATCCAGCATCAGTATCTGACTTCACTAATACTCTTGAGGCTCAATGTTCCAACACCTAATATAAAGCCTTCTTCGATAAATAGAGGCTGTTACTGAAGTAGAGAGGGACAAACTATTAATACCCTTGATTTCAGAACAAACGTTGGCTGAGCAAGTGCCTATAAACTGTTGGACATACAGTGTACAAACTAAATATGAAAATATGTAGAGTTTTTCTCAGCAATTTACTGTCCTCTTTGATGAAGTGCAGCGTAAACCAGAGGTTCTCAAACCGGACCTCAGGGACCACAAGAGTCCAGATTTTTGCCTTCAACCTAACTTAGGCATAGAGCAGAAATGTGGACCGTCTAGGGGTGCTTAAGGACCAGTTTGAGAACTACTGGCCTAAACCACAGCTGCTGGTGACGGAGATCCTTACCTTACAGGTGGAGTCCAGTCGTTGTGGGCGGGGCTTACGCACCTGCGTCAGCAGAAAAGGTATTTTGAGCTTCATCCATGTAGTGACTTCATTTGGCAAGGAAGAGCTCTGCCAGTCGGCTACTCAGTGTTAGAAATTCTCAAATGAGTGTATTAGCCGGTTTAAAATAACTAAAAACCAACAACCATAATCGACTACAACAGAAACAGCTGGAAAGCAGTAACTCTAACAACATCTGGACATGCCAGGAGCGAGCATCATCAGGAACCTTCAGTCTCCTAGTGTGGCGAGCTCAGTTGCTAAGCGAGGGAAGTCCCTTCAGACTCCTCCAGGTTATCAGGACATTCAACCAGTGGCTTCGAGGCATGTTTCACTGCGGGATATGGCGCTAACTCCTGCCCGTGTGCCTCCGTTCACCATCCCACCGCTGTGTGCGGCGGGGCGGCCTGGGGGCTGCTCTGTAGGGGGCGGCCCTCGGCGCCACACGCTGCCGGCCTCCGCTCACTCTCCGCGGTCTACCAGAGCGCTCAGCCGCCGCTGCTGCCCTTTCTCAGCACTCGGCCTCGCGGACATGGAGCCTCACACCTGCGCTTCTTCAGACCCGGCGACAAGAGCGGCGATGTCTCTGCTCCACCTAGCCAAAATAACCACCCCGTACGGCTTCATCACCCTGGGGGAAAGTCCCTGCGTCCGCCGCAGGGAGTCGCTGTTCTTCCAGGAGCACCAACCACAGCCAAGACCCAGCGAACAGGAGCAGCAGGTGGGTTTGCAGAAGGAAAAACAGATGTCTTCCCAACCAACAAACATTACTCTAAATGATACCTGATTCATTTATTTTGATCCTGTTTCACGGGTGTATTTCTTTAATTTTACAAAAAAATCGCACAACTTTCACTTGTGAACTATTAAAAATGTGGACTTCTCACGAGAGATGCACATTCTTATTTTTCATCTGTTATTTTCTCACATCATTCATCCATTTGTGCTCCTTATACATGTAATATAATGGTATAACATGATGAAATGGATTCCTATATAGCTGTGCTTGGGATCATGTGCTAATAACGTGATAAAGTGAAATTTCAGGGCATAACAGGTCACATGTGATTACATCTTATCTATGTCACGTGTTTACTTGTGAACATGTGTTTTATAGACACGTCACAAATAATCACGTTAAAGTACCTATCCTTTCTGTAAGGGTCAAAACTACAAATAAATTACTTTTAGCAGTGAACTGTAAATGTCAAAATAAATCCTTTCAATTTTCTGTTGATTAATATTTTTATAATTTTTCCAACCAGCAATTTCATTTGGTGTCATATGTGGGAGTTTGCCTACAATAGTTCTTTTGTAACCATGGCAAATAACTATAAATGTAGCTTTGATAGTTCATATAATCCCAGCTGGACCCAAATAAACACTGTATGATTAAATTCAATACTGTATATCTTGCTGTGTTTGCAGCCAGACTTTTAACTGATTTTTTTTGTCTTTATTACAGTGTATGAAATCAAGGACTGAGTCTTGCTCGCGCCCCCCTGACGTAGCAGCTCGCTGTTGTGTGGCTCTTCAACCGGAAAATGATCTTCACACTTCATGTGACTGTGCAAAAGCATACAAATGCACACACTTGTCCAGCAGTTCACCAAGAAAGGGAAGACTGAAGTATTTACTGAAGAAGCGCTTTGCAGCATAGGAGCCACTTCACTTCCAGTGACCTCTCAGAAACTACTTGCAGAAGAAGTTCCACAGGCAATTGCAGAGAGACACTCCTTCCAGAACAGAAGAGCTCAAGAAAGCAGCATGAACTGGTGAAAATGAGTGGAAAATGATGTGTTGAGATCTGGAGTGGAAGTTAATTTTCCGGAAAGAAACTTCTCCTTCGCATGTGCACATTTATTGTTTGAGTGATGAAAAACCTCAGTGTGATGCATTAATGTTTTTGAGAAGCTCATAAAAGTGTTATTTAAAAAGGTTTGCTGCTGTGTGTCCTGAATTCATTATGTTGAGTTACTGTATATATCAGGATGAATTATTTAGAAGATTTAATGACAGTGTTATTAAATATAGTATTTACTATTTGTTAAACACAATCAGTACAAACTCTGTCTGAGTCAATTTCTAAAATTCCCATGTTCACACTGTAGGAAAGCTACTCTGATTTCCTAAAAGAGTGGCCAGCAGATGGAGCTGCAGTTATATGTCAGTCAAAACCATGAGAGGAAAGTTTCAACCTGTAATGTCTGAGAGCCCAAGATTGCAATTTTGGAGGCTATGATTACACCAACTTGCTCCTTCTCCTGCCTCCGGCTGTAATTCTGAGAAATAAAAGTTACATTGCAATATTAAATAAAAAGCATGGGGTGAACATGTCATAACAGGGCAATGGTGTTATTACTATGTTACTATAGATGCCAATTGCAGTATTTCATGCAAGTAACAGTGCAGTGATGGCTAATGCTACAGTGTTTAATGCTACTTATTAAAAATCAAATGAATACACTGAAAATCATTAATACACAATTAAATGAGGGGTATGTATGAAACTAAACTCGCCAATAGTTTTTAAGATCTAATGATTAAGTCTTCCACTGAATAACAGAGGATATCTTAGTCCCACTAAAGGAACAGTCTCCAAAACCCCCAGAGCAAATATGCAATCAGTTTTTATACCATTTCCTTTCTAACATGAGCCAGGTTCATTTACTAAATTTGTACAATTAAAATCCTGACCTTCAGTGAAAGATCTGACATTTTAATCCAAGTGCAGATTTCAATAGGGAACAAAAACATCTCTTGTGTACTGGTTTCATGACCTGTTCATGTGCATATTAACATATTCTCAGTATATTTACCTCATTTGTATATCTGTCTCAATATATTTACTTTATTCAGTTTATGAATCTAAATTGCTATTCCAACAGATTTAACCCTTTTGAGTCTTCTTTTAGTCACTGGTTTTCTATTGGTCAGTCCGAATGCTTCTGTTTAATACTGAGGCTCACCTCACTTCTATATTCATTATTCTCATAGCTCTCTTTGTTATAACTCTCAATGTTAGGAAGACGGGCTCCCTCTTGATTTCATTAGCCTCTGTGTTTTTTCCTCTCGCTCTTTTAGAGTTTTCCCTTGCCTTGTATTTCTATAAAGCTGCTTTGTGATGACATCTGTTGTTAAAAGCACTATACAAATGCATCTGAATTAAACTGCAGTGGGATATTTTATGATCCAAAATAGATTCCACAATTAAATGTCAACACATCTCAAACTGGTAAAAAAAAACATTGTTCAAAGGCATTTCACTTTTTATAAAACAAATGCTAATTTGCAAAAACAAGGTAAGTGTTTCAGATATTTCAGATAGAAA